CCAAAGAGGTCAGCTGAAAATGTGCACCTTCGGTTGGCCACCAGAACTCAGCTCGTATTAATCGACCGTGACATCAGAATAAATGCCGAATATTATCTGGAGAGTGTATTAAACACGCAAACATTGTGGCCGCAGACCTTGGACATTCCAACAGGACTCAGCACCATCGCACTCAGCACGCGCCACCCAAGAATGTTTACTAAATGAGGTAGGTTCCTCGCTTCATTTCCAGCGCACAATGGTCACAAAAATCTCCGAATACCAATCCGTTGGACTATTGTGTCTGGAGTATTTTGCAGTGCAAGGATGACACTAAAAAATACAAAGTGTCGATCAAAATACCGCAGAGCAACATTCGGACAGCGTATGACGGTTTCATTGGCCGTTTGAAGGCCATAATTCGTGTAAAAGGTGACCAATTCGAACAAATCTAAACTTGTTCTAAAATTTGATGCTATTTCCGATTTTTTTTTTCCTTTCTTTAAAAAAAAATTCTAAAATTATGGCGTTTGACTTTGTTGCAGTTTTTTGTCTCACCCTGTATATTAAATGTGAAAGTGGAATACTTCGGTCCACTATATTTGGTACATCTGGCACATTTGAACATTTTCCAAAATTTATCTCATATATAAAGTACAGGACAAATCTGACAACTTTTTATGTTTATATCAGACTTGGGTCATATACAAAATGGGCAATATTGGCCAACAATTGCGGAGCCTCTCCAAAAGAGTCAATATCTCTTCTCCTTATTTATGTTGCAAACAATACCCAACTTCTTAGACTCCAGTACCACAGTTTTGCAAACTGTTGTGTTGTGTTGTTTTTTGCAGAAAGCACGTGCCCATGAGGATTACATAATTCGGATTTATAGGATCTATTTTAAGACGAAAGCAAATGTACTCAAATTTTCATTGACACTTAGACCATTGTATTCTCATTATTATTAACGATATACGGAATGAAAATTCCGAAGTAGTGCTTGTAAAAAATTGTGTTTGTTGTGTTTATCTAAATCTGGCTTGTGCCTTAATCACTATTGGGCGTTTGTTATTCCATTTTACCTAATTTGGAAGGTAATAATGCAAAATGCACCCACAATCTTTGCAAAGAATTTACATTTTGAGGTAAATCCTGGACAACCGTGGTCTTCAAAGCATATAAGCACGAGGTTTTATTACCATGGGTTTACAGGTAACACAAGACTACTAAAGTTGCATCTGCAATCGCATGTAATCCTGTAGAACATATCTCTTGCATTAAGACTAAGTTATCCTATTTTGGTGTAATTCTTTTAAATACTGCGAAACCAAATACAAAATCTTGAGTTGTAAATATTTTCGTAGCTAATCACTACTGGAAAGACAGAAACATTTTTTTGGTATTGAAAACTTCGGAATACAGGCTATGATGTGGAATTCTTGATCCTTATGGGTTCAGAGGCATGAACGAATTCATACGGAAATTCCCTTATACATATAGAACGGTTTTAGAACCCTAGTCATGCCATTGTATTGTCTGAATTCTTAAATTTGAAATAAGAACCGCTGATAGGATGGACATTTGGAATTTCGAACTATAAGTGTACTAAAACTACTAGAAATCACCTAACTTAGTCACTATAACAAGTTAGAAAAACACTTCGCCAATGTCAGTTTATGATTTATTTGCGTTATGATTATTTAAATGTTGAAACAGGATATTACCGAAGGTATGGGTCAATATTTTTACCCATATGACTATATCGACTTTTCCATCAGTCTATACGAGATATGTAAATACATGGTGATATAAAAAAACTGCAAAAAAGTCAAACGCTATAATTTTTACACATTTTTTAATTTTATTGAATGAAAGCAGAAAATGTCGGAAATAGCATCAAATTTAAGGATAAGTTTAAATTTGTTCGAATTGGCCAACTTTAACACGAATTATGGCCTTTAAGCGGCCAATGAAACCGTCACACGCTGCCCCAATGTTGTTCTGCATTCCCGGCGAAGCGCTAGCTTGAGGTGATCGACACTTTGGTATTTTTTAGTGCCAACCTTGCTTTCCAAAATACTCCAGACACAATAGTCCAACGTATTGGTATCCGGAGATTTTGGTGGTCATTGTGCGCTGTAAATGAAGTTTGGTTGAAATGAGTTCTGTTGGAATGTTCAAGGTCTGCGGCCAAAATATTTTCGTGTCGAAGGCTTCAATACACCCTCCAAAATATTTTCGCGATAATATTCGGCATTTATTCTGATTTCATCTCACCCTACATTTCTTCAACCGATTTCGGGTTAATGGTGCGCCAAATGGCCAATATCAGTCCAAGTGGCCGGAATTTTGGCACATCTGACCGAATTCTGTGTAAAAGCTAGTACATCAAATTTGGTGAAAATCGGTTCAGATATAGCTATAGCTTCCATATATGTGTTTCATCCGATTTGGGGCTTTGAGACCTCACTTACGTGATGTGCACTCCACAAGAATGATATTTGGTACCATATAACTTATGGAGCACAAAAATACCTCTCCCAAATTTTATCGCGATCGGACCAGATTAGGATATAGCTTCCATATATCTTTATCCAATATCAGGTTTATTGTTCCGACAGAATACGTCCTAGAAACAAGTACTTCAAATATGGCATAAATAAATTTAGATATAGCTATAGCTCCCATATATATGTTTTATCCGATTTGGTGTAATATGCACTCTACAACAACGATCTTTGGTAGCAGATTTCAGATACAGCTCAGATATAAGTGTTTAAAATTATATCAAGATAGGTTCAGATATAGATATAGCTCCCATATATTTTTAATCCGATTTGCCGTTAAAGTCCCTCATATGCGTAATATGCACTCCACAACAATGACGGACATCAAATACAGCTCGAAAATATCTCTGCCAAATTTTATCGAGATCGGTTCAGATTTTTATATAGCTCCGATGTACATCTTCATCCGATTTTATGGTTATACCCACCATATATGTACTATGAGCCAAAATTTCATATTCAACCAAATTTTCCATTTTGTGAAACTCGGTCCGGTATATCTATTGCTCCAAAAAATATTTTTAACATAATTCTTATCCAAGTCATACCATGTACTATAGTTATATGGTACTATAGGTACAAAAGCGTCCGTCAAATTTGTTGAAAATCGATTCAGAGGTGTATATAGTTCCCAAATTGTGAATAGGTGTTAGTCAAAATTTTAGCCTGTTGTGAATAAGGAACCAGAAGGAGTTAACATCAGATCTCAGGTGGAAATAAATATGTAGATACTTCAAGAATCTCTGACTTGTTCCACAAGTTATAATACATATAGTTACTGAAAATTGTGACCCTTTGTGGGGCGGTACCAGAATGAGTGGACTAATATATCCCGTATTCACACCAGATTTTGGATTGATAGAAATATTAGGATGTGCCGAGTTTTAAAGGAACCGGATGTTCATTTTGCGCTTTATGAGCTTCATGATTTTTCAAAAATTGGCCCCTTTGTGGTGAAGGTACTAAAAGTAGTCCTTCGTTCTATCCGTTCTTCATACGAGATATTGAGTGTGAAATATTGAGATGTACGAAATGAGGGTTGGAATGCCAACTCTCATTACACATTTAATAATAATTATAATTATTCAAAATATTGACCCTTTGTTTGGTAGGTACCAAAAGGGTGGTCCGACAAATTCCATCTGATTTTGTGCTGATAGAAAAGTTGTTATGTGCCAAGTTTGAAAATAATCGGATGCTCATTTCGCTTTTTATGAAGTAAAGGGTTATTCAAAATTCTGACCCGTTGTGGGGAAGGTGCCAGAAGGAGTGGTCCAATATATACGATATTAACACCAGACTTTGGATTAATAATAAGTAAAAAAGCTATAAGTTCGGCCGGGCCGAACTTTGAATACCCTCCACCAATTGGAACGAATTTGGTAATTCTCGAAAACAATAAGATCCGTTAAAAATTCTGTTAAAATCTTAAAAATACCGGGCCTATACGACGGCATAGACATGCTTGGGTAACTTTTGTCATAAGCCATTACAATATTCAAATGCGAAACCTAACAAAAAAAAATCGGTGAATAATGTAGCTAAAATCATCAAAATATCGAATTTTGGGAGGTACCGTTATACCGTACCGGCTATACGAAGACTGTCGTATGCACTACGAACATCAAATACCAAATTTGAAAGAATTCTGCTGAATAATGTAGCTAAAATCAACAAAGTACCGAACCTGCACAGACAATTTTCTGTCTTACGCTGTAGTATCCATTTCGAACTTCAAATATCAAATTTGAAACAATTCCGAATATCGGGGGGTACCTTTATATGGGGGCTACACCAAAACGTGGACCTATATGGCCCATTTTCAATACCAAAAGTCCTGCAGACATATACATTTTAGTAAAATTCTATCAATCTACTTCAATTTGTTCTGAAGCTAGAGTGATATCCACAGACGGACGGACATCGCTAAATCGACAAAGAATTTTATGCTGATCAAGAATACATATACCTTATGGGGTCTAAGATGTATATTTCGAGGTGTTACAAACGGAATAACAAACTTAATATGCCTCCATACTATGGTGGAGGGTATAAAAATATTGTGATGTATCTAAGTTGAAGACAATTGGTCTAAAATGGATTTGGTTTAAAGCTATATAGGGTCTAAAAGTGTTATTTTGATGTGGCACGTTTTGGTCGTATGAAATGGCTGAGGGTACAAAAAATCATCCCATCAGAACCTAACAGATTTTTTATTTCTTCTCAAAAATTTTTTTTTATCTTAAAAGGCGAACAATCAAATAATCTCATGAAAAAATGTGTATGTTTCTAAATGAACACAACACGACATACTTATAAACTCGTCCGAATATTAAAAGGCATACCATTATTAAGTAACGACAACATTTTATTTTCATAAGCTGCAATTACAGCGAAACAAGCAGACGTGTATGAATTTCATTTCCATTGTTATGCTTTCCAATGCCCTCACAAGCATTTCAACTCCACACAGCTCAGCTCACCGGACACAATACCTAATACCAGTTTGATATCAGACTAATAACTCCTTCAGGACACCATTGCGAATAATCCAAACAGGCATTGTTGTTTTCGTTATCGCCACCGTCAAGTTCGTTGCCATCGTCGTCGACCATGTTATTAGCCAAATATTGGCGGCCTTGCCATTCGGCGCGATAAAGGTCTTCATCGTTAATATCGTTATGCAGTTGTGGCGGTTCGGGTCGTGATGTTGTTGGCCTATTTAACATATAATCAAGAAATGATACCCAAATGAATAATTAGTAACAACCGACAAAACAACAACATTCATATGTACATTTATGTGGATATAAACATATGTACATATGTATGTGACTAGGTATGAATAAATGAATGAATGAAGGAAGAATTGTAATGCGATGCAAAGTGAATGAACATTTTGGGCTATGCGAAAAAATACAGACCCCACAATTTTCATTTCAAAAGGCGTAAAAAAAGAGAAAGATGTATTTGAAAGATAAGACCAAAAAGGGTAATTCGAAATTTAAATATCGGCTTTTTGGTAGGATATTGTCTTACTTGGGGCCATAAGGACAGTGGTATCAAAGGGTAAAGTTTTAAATTTTATGAAAAAAGAAAAAAATGGCAACAATATTAGATGAACTTAGATATACCCATATTTAAGTGAATATGAGAACACCTGCGTAATAGGACCTGATGTTAACAATTAATTTTGAAGTCTAAATAGATAAAAAACAAGAAAAAAACATTAAGTTCGGCCGAGCCAAACTTTTAATACCCTCCACCTTAGGGTAAAGGAAACATTAGAAGAAATGTGGCAAAAACCATTAAAATGCCGAATATCGGGAGGTACCGTTATATGGGGACTATATCAAATCATGGACCTACACATGCAATGTTTCGCCAAAGGAGCTAGAACCCATTATGACCTACAAATACCAATTTTCAGACAAATCCGTGAAAAAATGTGGCATAAATCATAAAAATATCGAATATTGGGAGGTACTGTTATATGAAGAATATACCAGAACGTGGACCGATATATCTCATTTTTGAATACCAACCATCCTGGACACAATACAAATTGCTCTGCTAAATTTTGGCGCTCTACGTCAAATAATGTGGGCTTAATGTGGTTAATATACCCTCCTTTCCAAGGTGGAGGGTATAATAAATGTAGTTGACAATGATGTGATATCCTTAAAAATACCCAAAATTAAAGTTATACTTTTTCGGGCTATACTAAGCCGATTTCAATTCCTCTTGAAAACATGGTCAATATTCCCAAAGTATTACAAATTTGGTTGGGTCTGTTTTATGGGAGCTATGCCAAAATGTCGACCGATTTTTTGAGGGAATCATGTTTGCAGGGACCTTAATATCAATTATTGAAAATTCCTTTGGAAAAAAACTTGGAAATACCTAAAATCGGGTGGTACCGTTACATGGATGCCATTCCGAAACGTGGCGAAACGAAATATACATTTTATCTCACATAAAGTGTATATAATCATTATCAGCATAACGATGTCCGTCAGTGGAAATCACTCCAGCTTTAGATGTATTTTATGTCTGCAGGAGTTGTAGTATTGTAAATGATATATATAGGTCTACGTTTTGGTATAACCCCCATATAATTGTACCGACAGATTAAAGGTCTTTTGGTCATTTTATTTGCAATCTTAATTCGAATTTGCTTTAAATTGGAAGTTAGTGTCCCTAGTATATGGGAAACAGCCTCGTTTTCATATGGCCCTCAAGTAAATTGTCGTCAACCATTTTATTAGCCAAATATTGGCGGCCTTGCCACAATTATCTCAATGACTTTGAAATACATTTCAGGAATATTCCATTCGGCAAATATTGAAAAATGAGCTCGGGGTAAAGCCATTAAAATTCCAAAAAGTGCAAGAACTTACACCGCAACAGAAAGAAAATAGACTCAAAAGAGCTAAAGAGTTGCTTCGCTTGGCCGAAACTAGTGAACTGCCGAATTTGGGTTTCTCCGATGAGAAAATATACGTTGTCCAACGGTTTGTAAACAAACAAAATTATCATGTTTACTAGCCAAAGAGGTCAGCAGAAAATGTACACCTTCGGTTGGCCACCAGAACTCAAGCGCCGGTCATGGTGATGGTGTGGGTCGCCATTGCAGACGATGGTCGCTCTCCGCTCGTATTAATCGACCATGGCATCGAAATAAATGCCGAATATTATCGCGAAAATATTCTGGAGGGTGCATTTTGGCCGCAACCGGACTCAGGACCATAGCACTCAGCACGTGCCATCCAAGAATGGTAACAAAATGAGTTTCTTCGCTTCATTTCCAGCGCACAATGGCCACCAAAATCTCCGGATACCATTCCGTGTATTGTGTTTGGAGTACTTTGGAAAGCAAGGTCGGCACTATAAAATACCAACGTTTCGATCACCTCAAGCAAGCGCTTCCCCGGGAATGTGCCGAATACCGCAGAGCAACATTCGGGCAGTGTGTGACACTTTTATTGGCCGTTTGAAGGTCATAATTCTTGCCAAAGGAGACCAAATCGAACAAATCTAAACTTATTCTAAAATTTGATGCTGTTTCCGACATTTTTTGCTTTCATTCAATCAAAATTTAAAAAAAAAAAAATGTAAAAATTATGGTGTATTATACGTATTGTACCTATTTTCCTATATATTCGAAATTTTTTTTCTATCAGCCTCACTATAATAGTCAGAAGTGACCTTTTATGCATTTGTGATTTCGCCGGGTTGAAAATATTCGCGATTTGGTGGAAATTTTCCATTTTTTTATTTAAAAGTTATCGTTTATTCTAACGCATTGGGATTTTGAAATCATCTCCAAAATTAATAGGCTCCTATTTTGAACCTAACCCATATTGGATTATGCCATAATCGCAACCCATAGTTTGATTACAAATTAACGTGGATAGGCGGACAGGCAAACGGACGGATATACATAGCTAGATCGACTCAGCTCGGCATATCCATATATAGTTTCCTATGTCGGAGACCAATATTTCGAGGTGTTACATAATTTTTGACCCAACCAAACTTATAATACCCCAACACATAGTATTGTAGGGTATAAAAAGGAACAACAAGTTGACTCTAATAAGGGTTAAAATTGTTGACCAAAATATTCTTCGAATTTTTATATGCAACATTGTCTGAGACACTATATATCTTAAATCCCCTCTATCTAGAATATTTTGCGATGTAGACTTTGAAAACGTCGACACTTGTGTCTTCTTCCATAGTCTGTTGGATTTTCTACATAATTATTTTTATGGCTAATTTTCGCTAACGAAATAGCTGACATTCATCTCAAGCTTCGCATATCGCTATCTTTGTACCAGTATCAGAACTACTGGGGAACTGAAACATCTAGATCTACTCTCTCTTGTACCTTCAGCACAAAGGGTTTCGGCAAGTAAAAAAGCAGTAAGTTCGGCCGGGCCGAACATTGAATACCCTCCACCATTAGAAAATTTTCAAAAAAATAAAATTCATTGAAAATTCTTTAAAAATCTTTAAAATATCTAATATCGGAAGGTGCCGTTATATGGGGGACATACGATATTGTGGACCTATATAGACAAATCTATGTCTGGGGTAAAGTACTCACAAGGAACTCCTTATGTGGATTTTCAGATAATTCCATTGGGAAATGTGGCTAAAATCATCAAAATCCCGAATATCGGGGGTACCGTTATATGGGGGCTATGCGATATCGTTAACCTATATAAAGAACTCTATGTCAGGGGGTAAAGTGCTCACTAAAAACCCCTTGTGTGGAATTTCAGACAATTCCGTTGAAAAATGTGGCTGAAATCATCAAAGTACCGAATATCAGAGGGTACCGTTATATGGGGGATATACGATATCGTGGACCTATATAGACAACTCTCTTTCAGGGAGTAAAGTACTCACAAAGAACTCCTTGTTTGGATTATCAGACAATTCCGTTGAAAAATGTGGGTAAAATCATCAAAATACCGAATATCGGGGGGTACAGTCATATGGGGGATATACGATATCGCGGACCTATATAGACAATTCTCTTTCAAGGGATGAAGTAATCACAAGTAACTCCTTGTGTGGATTTTCAGACCATTCCATTAGAAAATGTGGCTATAATCATCAAAATACCGAATATCGGGGGTACCGTTATATGGGGGCTATACGATATCGTCGACCTATATCGATGATTCTATTTCGAGGTATAAAGTACCCATAAGGAACTCCTTATGTGGATTTTCAGACAATTCCGTTGACAAATGTGGGTAAAATCATCAAAATACCGAATATCGGGGGGTACCGTTATATGGGGGCTATACGATATCGTGGACCGATATAGCCCATCTTCGAACTTGACCTGCCTGCAGACAAAAGAGAGATATCTGCAAAATTTTAGCTTTCCATCTTAATTCGTTTAGACTGTAGCGTGATTACAACAGACGGACAGACGGACGGACAGGGCTAAATCGTCTTTGTTGGGTCTAAAATGATTATTTCGATGAGTTACAAACGGAATGACGAACTTAATATACCCTCCATACTATGTATGGTGGAGGGTATAAAAATTATGTAGATTATGTTGGTTTGTATAAAATTCGTCCTGGCCGAAATTCTCCCCATTTCTACATATCAATCTCTCATCAAAATATCATACATTTTCTCAAGAATTCGAAAATTAGGGACTTTACAAAGTTGAGAGTAATTTTTAGTAGGAGTCCTTATTAAATAGATTTTCAACCACTGTTTTCCCCCTTTCTTTAACTTTTCACAAATCCTCAACACATTTCACTAACTTTATCGCCGTCTTTCACATATTCCCTTTGCTATCTAAAATAAAATTTTAAAATATCACACAAAGAAACAAAAGAAATTCATAATTACATGAATAAAATTTTCAAAATACTGCCCAAAACGCCATTGTTTTCATCCATTGTTGAGGCGGCCACTTCGCAAATCGTTCTCAGCAGGCAACCGGTTCCGTTCATTTGATAATGATCCAAATAACCAGTAAATGTGCGATAAAACGAACGACGGTCATAACGGGGCAGTAATGGCTGGCCAGAAGTTTGGTCGGTGCTGGTGGTGGATCGTTTTCGTTTGCTTTGTAATTTTCGGTTATTAATGACGGTAACGTTGTTGCCAATACCCAAATATGTTTCATCCAAATCCCACTATTTAAAAAAAGGAAAGAAAGAACAGAAAAGGACATTTTGAATTGCAAGGAATAAATATTAATATTATTCACACCACAATTATTTTTAAACCATAATCCTAACATTCAGCCCTTTACTCACCCTATCTATCCACTCAGTGTAGGAATCATTCGATGGCAAACCATAATTGGACTCAAAATTAAAAGCCATGTAAATGTTGCGATTGGGCAAGTCCACTGGTATGGCCACAGCTGCCAAATACTGTCAATGAAAGGATTTGTTTTTGTTTTTGGGTTCTTTGTGTTGGCGCATTTCGACAAATTTGGCTTCACTTCACTTTTCCTTACCCCAAATGATCCGCCTCTTGGATAGAATACCCCAGCCATAACTGCAGCAATATTGGCCAAAAACATGCAAATAATGCTAACCGCTAATAGTGATGGTGTTGTTATTGTTGTTGTCGGTTTTCTTCTTATTGTTGTTGGCCATATATGGGTCATTTGATGCAATGTCATCATCATCGTCCGTGCTGGTCTTGATCTTCGTCGTCGTTGTTCGCATTGCTGCAACATTGTGTGCTTTAAGTGTTTGTCGTCCGCCTTTGCCAATTGTTGGTAAGTAACTGTTGGTGGTAATTGTTGGAAGTGTGGTTAATATACGTCAAAGTGTTGTAAAGAAGATTCCGAGCCAATAATGTGTGGAAAATGAATGGAGAATGCATTTAGTGAGTGGCTGTAACAGGGTGATTAAAATTAATTACTCTAATGCATTAAACGACGAAATGTGAAAAATGTGTATTAAAATAATTTTCTATATTTGATCTATTTTTTAAATAGAAAATTAAAAAAAAAAATCGTAGGGTATAAAAATCGGGCGGGACCGACTGTATGATATCTTACACCAATATAAGTGTTTAGCAGTGCATGATATGACTTCCATAAGGATTATATTAAAAAAAAAAAGTGAAAAAATATTAGGTTCGGCCGGGCCGAATTTTTAACACCCTCCACCATTGGGTAAAGAAAACATTTTTATATAGGCCATACCAAAAAGGGTACCTATTTAGACAACTTTATATTGCACGGACTGTTATCTATTGCAAGTCTTATATGTCAAATGTGAAAAATTCCATGGGTAAATGTGAAAAATTCCATGGGTAAATGTGAAAAAGATTATCAAAATACCGAATATCAGTGGTTACCATTATATGGCCGCTATAGGAAAACATGGACCTAGATATTCAATGTTCTGCCACTGGAGCGAAACCCCATTAAGAACTACAAATACCATTTTTTAGACAAATCTGTGGAAAATGTGACAAAACGAGTTAAAAACAAGTTAGCAAAGGCTATAGTCGTGCGGGGCCGACCTTGTGATACCCTACAACACTACAATAGGTTAAGAGCCCCCTTATGTCCAAATCCATTTTGGAAGATTTCGATTTTGAATTTATGTTACGAAGCACTGCCCAGATATTACACCTAGCATTTTCACAAGGGACATTCAATGGTCATCCATGATGCTAGAATTCTTCCATGTCCTTAACTCTCTTGTCTTGTCGATTGGTTTCAATTGTGTGATCAGGACATTTTTTCTGTTTTCGGTTCATTTAAAACCCTAAATATTTTGCGATCATCTCCAAAAGCAAGTTTAGACTCATCTATATTCGTCGGCGAGAGCCAGAGTTTCGCCTTTTGTGTATTTAGAATATCATCTGCAGGTAATGTTGGTATTTTTTCATACAAAAATAGTGGTCCATTCTACTCGCTGTCCTAAACTCAACTTCAGGCGAGATTTTGTGTCCTTTGGTTAATATTTGTGATGGCTGCATATTCATTTTAAATTGTTGGTCCATTTTAATCCCTAAATCTATTGCGGACATCTTTGAAAACAAAAGGCCTAGCCCTACTGAGCCTTACCCTACCCTTGTGAAAATTTTCTGAGGATCTTACGATTATTGCAATCTGCATATAAAAACCCCAACCTGTCTGGTAAGATGAAAAAATATTACCAAATATACACTTCAATATTCTAAGTCAAATTGAAAAAATCGCATGCGATAAAAAATATGAAAAAAAATGTCATAAAATACTAAAGAATCTTGATTAACATCATTATTGGCATCTTTTTATGCGATTTTAAACTTTTATGACAAGAGGGCATTCTAAATTGACAAAATTTGTCAAAATCGGTCCAGTCGTTCTTGAGATATAAGCATTCTAGCTAACATCGCCATCCTTTATTTGTATATATTTTGCTATATATGTTTCCGATATATTTACTATCGGCATCTGCGTAACGGTCGGAATTGACCTGTTTTTCTATTTGTGATTTCGCCGAGATTAAAAATATTCGCGGTCCAATGGACAATTTGACTTTTCTTTAACACAAATGTTATGGTCTATTTCAGCAACTAAATATTAACCGATGACCATCAAAATTAAAAGACTTGCAACTGCAAAATCAGGAAATTTTTCAGTATTTGGTCCATTTCAACCTATAAATATTATACGATCATCTCCAAAAGCAATAGGGTTCTATTATGGCTCTAGCCTCACCTCCATTCTAAATTTCGTGAATATCGGGCCATAATTGCGACCTGTAGAGTGATTACAAATTAACATGGACAGACGGACGGACGGACATACATAGCTAGATCGGCTCAGCTCGGCGAGGTAGGAAGAGGTGTTACATAATTTTTGGCCCAATCAAAATTATAATTCCCGCAACACATAGTGTTGTACGGTATAAATATCTATCGGTTTTGCCGACAGGTGTATACCCTCAGCCAATGTAGAATTATCTAAAAATATTTTGACTTCTGTTGTGAAATGTTGATCCTTTGTGGGGGAGGTACCAGAAGAAGTGAACCCATATTTTCCATCTTCACTGCAGATTTTGTGTTAGAAAAAATAATAGAATGTGTGAAATATAAAGAGAACCGGATGCTTATTTTGGATTTTATAATCGATTTGGTTATTCAAAATGTTGACCACTTGTTGGGGAGATAGGAAAAGGAATGGTTCGATCTCTACCATCTTTATAACAGATCTTGTGTTATATAGAAATATTGAGATGTGCCAAAGGAAGAATAGAATCGAATGTTAATTTCGCGTTTTATGAGCTCCATGTATATTCAAAATTTTAAGACTTTGTGAGGGAGGTACCAGAAGGAGTGGACCGATATATTCCGTCTTCACGCCAGATATAATAATATAAAATATTGTGATGTGTGTAATTTGAAGAGAACCGGCTGCTTATTTCGGAATTTATGATTTTTTTGTTATTAAAAACATTGACTCCTTGTGGGGTTACCATAAAGAATGGTCCGATCTCTAACATATTTTTAATAGATCTAGTGTTGTTGAAAATATTGCCAAGTCTGAATTGAATCGAATTTTAATTTCGTGGTTTATGAGCTTCATGAATATCCAAAATTTTGACAATTTGTAGGGAGGTACCAGAAGGAGTGGACCGATACATTCCATATTTACACCAGACCTTGGGATAATAAAAATATTGTAATGTGTGTAATTTGAAGACAATCGGAAAACACATCACATTTTCTAAGAGTTATAATTATTAAAAATGTTGACACTTTGGGAGTGAGGTACTTGATGGAGTGGACCTATATTTCGCACCTGACCTAGCACTGATGCAAATATTAGGATTTGCAAAGTTAGAGAAATGAGGGATTAACCTTTCTCTTTCAGTGCAGTAAGACATTTTTTCAAAATTTCGACCATATGACCCATCTTCGAACTCGATCTAAGTTTGACAATAATATTACGATGTAACAAGTTTGGGACATTTCGGATACTACCTTCGGGAGTTATCGTGTGCACCAGCCGGACCTAAAACCGTTATTTCGATGAGGCATGTTTTGGCCTTATCTTAGAGGGTATAATGAGGGTCATGATGGATTTACCAGGGTTTTGGACAATTTGCACCATTACATTTACTACATTTGGTACCATGTCGTATAATGTGAGCTAAACCTTGAAATTGGGAATCCAATATTTATTTTATGAAATAGTAGGTATGGAGATTTTTCTTAGGAGAATCTTCATTCTAAAGAAATCTTCTTCCCACCCGACTATAGCATTTACATGCTTTTTAACTGAATTTGGATTTGCGGTTCTAATCATATAGTTTTTAGGTAATTTGTTTTTAAGTTTTTCGGAATTGAAGTATTTCCCTAGAACAACATGCTACAATTTTGCTGAAAAAATATTATTTTATTTATATCGCCATTTGAAATACTCACCACCCTGTACATCAGTAAAATGTAGTAAAGAATCTCTTCTTAAAAATGTACAGAAGAAAAAATAGTGAAATTTTAATAGGTGCTAATTACAAAAACCGGTTACTATGCCTCCTAATATGGGCTTCACACAATTCGGTCATAATGTTGAGTTCACGTTTTAGTTTCAAATCGGAATACGAAAAAAAAATTATCAATGAAATGAGGCACACTTTTGAAGTTAAAAAGAAACAACAAAGTAGGGCGCTAAACTCGGTTATACCGGCATATTTTCACACATACACATACAGAGGCACTCAAAATAAATGTAAGTCAAATATTTTGAAAAACAAATAAGTTCTCTTATCAAAATCATGTCAAGTTTAAAAATAGAAATTTATGAAAAAAATAAATAAAATAAAAAATGGTGTCTCGTATGGGACAGTGAAAGTGAAGTTTATGCGAATTTTGGAAGGCAAACAAAAACGTCATATTTGAAAATTGAGTTAATTTTGCTTGTGTGCCAAAACTGATTGGCTATCGACAATATTTTCATACCAAAGTTAGAATGACATGACGTCAATGAAGGGCATGGTTTTCATACCCTCAGTCATAGAGGGCTAGAGAGGGTATATAGCATTTGATACGGCCAAAAAGTGCCTCATCGAAAGAATGGTTATAGACCCTAGATCTCTTTGGACCAAATCCGTTTCAGGGCATTTGGAGCCGATTTAGTGATGTCCGTTCGTCCGTCCGTCTGTCTGGCTGTGGCCCATGATAACTCTCGAAGGGAGTATCCGGTATGGTTCAAACTTAATACATAGCAATATACTTATCAAACTTAGATCGAGCTCAGAGATGGGCAATATCGGTCCACTCCTTCTCCCACAAAAGGTCGAAATTTTCATAAAAATATTTCACTGCAGAGAAAGACAAAGGATATTCTGATTTTGACCGAACTTTGCAAATCCTAATATTTTCTTTAGTGCTAAGTCAGGTGCAGACCAATATCGGTCCACCCCACAAAGGGTCAACATTTTGAATAATTATAACGCTTATAAAATGTGATGTAAGTGTCCGATTGTTTTAGAATTAAACACATCACAATATTTTTGTTAACCTTAGGTGGTGTGTGAAGATGGAATAATCACTCCACTTCTTCTGCTACGTCGCCCACATACGGTTACAATTTTGAATATCCCTGAAGCTCATAAATCGCGAATATTCGATTGAAATTTCCATTTCCATTTAGACTTGAAACATCTCAATATTTCTATCAACCCAAGAGCTGTTATAAAGATCGTGGTGATCGGACCATTCGTTCCAGTACCTCCCCCACAAAGAGTCAAAGTTTTGAGTAACCAAAATAATCATAAAATCCGAAATAAGCATCCGGTGTTCTTCGTATTTCACATATCCCATTATGTCTACTAACACAAGATCTGCTGTGAAGATGGGATATATAGGTCCACTCTTTCCGATATCTGCCCCACAAAGGGTTAACATTTTGAATATCCATTGGGCTCATAAAACGCGAAATTAATATCCGATTCCATGTAAACTTGGCAATATTTCCATCAAAACAATATCTTTTATAAATATGGTAGAGATCGGCACACTTCTTTTGGTACCTCCCCCACATGGGGTTCAAAACTTTTTATTTTGATGATTTAAGCTACATTATTCACCGGAATTGTTTCATATTTCGTATTTGAAGCTCGTAATGGATGCTACAATTTGTGACAGAAAATTGTCTGTGCAGGTCCCTGTCTTCATATAGCCCCCATATAAGGGTACCTCCCAATATTCGGTATTTTGATGATTTTAGAGACATTATTTCGCGGAATTGTTTCAAATTTGGTATTTGAAGTTCGTAGTAGAGACTACATCCTATAACAGAAAATTATCTGTGCAGATCCAAGTCTTCGTATAGCCCCCATATAACAGTACCTCCCTATATTCGGTATTTTGTTGATTTTAGCGACATTATTCACCGGAATTGTTTCAAATTCGGTGTTTGAGGTTCGTAATAATTGCTACAATTTGTGACAGAAAATTGTGGGTGCAAGTCCCCGTCTTCATATAGCCCCCATATAAGGGTACCTCCTGATATTCGGTATTTTGATGATATTAGCGACATTTTTTAGTGGAATTGTTTCAAATTTGGTATTTGAAGCTCGTAATGGATGCTACAGCCTATGATAGAAAATTGTCTGTTTAGGTCCACGTTATCGTATAGCCGCCATAGTACCTCCCTATATTCGGTATTTTGTTGATTTTAGGGACATTATTCACCGGAATTGTTTCAGCCTGCGAAAGAAAATTTTATGTGTAGGTCCACGTCTTCATATAGCTCCCATGTAACGGATATCTCCCGATATTCGGTATTGTAATGATTTTAGCGACATTATTCACCGGAATTGATTCAAACTTGGTATTTAAATTTCGGAATGGAAGCTACAGCTTATGGCAGAAAATTGTCTGTGCAGGTCCATGTTTAGGTATAGCCCCCATATAATTAAATCTCCCGATATTCGGTATTTTGATGATTTTAGCGACTTTATTCAGCAAAATTGTTTCATATTTGGTATTTAAAGCTCGTAATGGATACTACAGCCTATGACAGAAAATTGTTTGTGCAGATCCACTGCTTCGTATAGCCCCCATATAACAGTGCCTCCCCATATTCGGTATTTTGAAGATTTTAGCGACATTATTCTCCAAATTTGTTATTTAAATTTCGCAATGGATACTACAGCCTATGACAGAGAATTGTCTGAGCAGGTCCACGTTTTGGTGTAGCCACGGAACCCCCCTATATTCGGTATTTTGCTGATTTTAGTTATATCATTCACTGAATATTTATACCCTACACCACAAGGTGGTCAGGATATTATGTCTTTGTGCATTTGTTTGTAACAGGCAAAAGGAAACGAGATAGACCCATAGTTCCTTTTGATGATCTGCATAGAATCACATTCTGAGTCGATTGATGAATGTTCGTCTGTCCGTCCGTCTGTCAGTCAGTCCATGTATTTTTGTAAACAAAGTGCAGTTCGCATTGATTGCCCTATCCAGATGACATTTTGCACAAATCATTTGTTTGGCCCAAGGACGAACCCTGTTGAAATTGGAGATAATCGGTCAGAATTTAGATACAGCTCCCATATATATCTTCGTCCGATTTGCTTTTTATTGTGCAACAAACGTGTAATATCAGCCCGAATAGTATGGAATTTTGCACATACAACCAAATTAGGCCTGAAAATAAGTATGCTAAATTTTATCAAAATCGGTTCAGATATAGCTATAGCTCCCATATATATTGTTCATCCGATTTGTTATTTTTGTCTTCCGCAGCCGTAATATGCACTCTGTAACAACAATATTTAGGGAAATATATCAAATATAGCTCAGAAATACATTTGCTAAATTTTATCGAGATCGGTTTAGATTTGGATATAGCTCCTATATATAACTTCGTCCGATTTACCTTTTATTTTGCATCAAACGTTTAATATTTTTCCAAATGATATGGATTTGGCACTTACGACCGAATTGAGTCTAGAAGCTAGTATGTCAAATTTGGTGAAGATCAGTTTCGATATAGCTATAGCTTCCATATATACTGTTCATCCGATTTGTTATAGTTGTTACCCACAGCCGTAATATGCACTCCGGAACAACGATATTCAGGGAAATATATCAAATACAGTTCAGAAATATCTTTGCCAAATTTTATCGAGATCGGTTCTGATATGGATATAGCTCCCATATTTATCTTTATCTGATTTCAAATTAATTTTGCACCAAATGGGCAATACAAATCCGAATTTAAAGATACAAATGCTTCGGCATATTTAGTCCTATAACCTTTAAATTATAATTATAATCATAGGGTGTATGCTTGAATTCTCCCATAAAAACTTTTAAATGTTATGCGGAGCTCTACTAAATTGGCAAAGTGGTGTAGGGTATCATGAAGTCGGCCCCGCCCGACTTTAAGCGATCTTTACTGTTTTTTTCAAGTTTCGCATTTGAATATTGTAATGAATTATGACAAAAGTTGCCTATGCAGGTCCAGGTTCATATAAATTGAAGGAAGTAATCAACATAGTCAAACCTGGCACGTCGTAATATTTATATCATATTTATTTAGGTCCGTTACGAAATGGATAATATTGGTGCATTCCTTCGGAACCTTCTCCATAGAAGGTCAACAATTTCAATAATAACAGAAGTCAAAATATATTAAAATAATCGAACATTACCTAGGGTATATATATTTGTCGATAAAACCGACTAAAACTTTTTTTGGTTTGGCTTTTGATGATGAAAAGGCTTGAAAAAATAATAATCTTGATTTTTTTGGTAATCATCTGTTATTTTTCGTAAAAATACTGAGTCACATTTTCTAAAGGAACCTGAATTTTGACAACAATGACAATATTTATAATCCTCAATTTGATTTCTTAGCATCTGATAGCTTATTTATATGGAACCGAATTATTGGTATAGAAAATAATGACATAGAAATGTAAGTCACATGGTCGCCAAATTTGTTTGTTTTTTTTTACCAAATTTGTGTTTTTCTGCTATTAACTTAAGGTTATTGCTAAAAGTGAAATTAAAAGGTTTTTATAGCGCGTCTAACAGAAAATTCTAGCCAAGCTCAGTTTTAGCAACGTGTTCGCTCTAAATTCTGGTATTGGTTGGTCTGTTTTGGTATCATTCATTTCCAGAGAATAACAGTGTTAGCATTGAGGCCGATGTGTTAATTGCCAGACAATTTACGAGTTATTACTATTTCTTCTTCGGTTGCTTATGTTCTGTTTGCTCTTTCACTGCAGCTGACTGCGTCATTTTCCGAATTCATATGTTAATGCTAAATATGTTTTAAAGAAGTTCAAGAAAAATAAATCAAAACTTTGGTCTGCTACCAACGAAAGTAGAACACCCAGATCAGTATACTTTGAGACGTGTAACGTGGTCAATAAGTTGCGTAGTTTACAAAAGAGAGAAGGAATTTTAAGACGGGAAAAGATATTTAAACTTCTATAAACAAAATATCGTAAGAAATAGAAAAAAAGAATATTTTAAGAAGAACAACTAAACATGTGCTGTGGTATTGTGAAAAGTATAAGGCCCAGACAGACCTTTCTGTATATTTTAATATTCCTTTGCACCCTGGTAAAGGCCAAACTGCCGATACTGTTCCCACCGACGGCACCCACAAGAATACAGGTGAATTGGATTCTATTTCCTTAAGTGATTAAAAAATGTATTTTAAATAAAAAAATAATAAAATAAAAAAACAATTACCAAAAAACAATGCCAATCCAAAATATAAATTTCGTTGAAAATCAAATGTATTCGTGAACCCAAAGTGGGATGTGATAAAATGATAGTCGCGTTTTAAATTTTCGGTATAAAGCAAAAGATTTATGTATATGGACAAAATTTGATAGAAAGGTGTGAAATCATAAGAACTAGATGGCAATTACTTGTCCCACTTTTACAAAGAATGTCGTGATAAACGATCGATCATATGTCCAATAAAAAAGAAAGTGAATAAGGTGTTAAATCCGGACGGAGTCATACTCTCCCCAAGAGAACAAGTAAACCAGTAAAGAAAGTCTTAAAGTCGGGCGGGGCCGACTTTATGATACCCTACACCACTTTGCTAATTTAGTAGAGCTCCACATAAAAATTAAAAGTTTTTATGGGAGAATTCAATCATTCAAGCTATGATTATAATTATAATTTAAAGTTGAAAGGACTAAATATGCCGAAGCATTTGTATCTTTTTAATTCGGACTTGTATTACCCTTTTAGTGCGATATTAATTTGAAATCGGATAAAGATATATATGGGAGCTATATCCAAATCGGAACCGATCTCCATTAAATTTCGCAAATATATTTCTGAACTGTATTTGATATATTTCCCTGAATATCGTTGTTACGAAGTGCATATTACGGCTGTGGGTAACAAATCGGATGAACAGTATATATGGGAGCTATAGTTATATCTGAACCGATCTTCACCAATTTGACACACTTGCTTCTAGACTAAATTCGGTCCTAGGTGCCAAATTCCATCCCATTTGGACAAATATTAGACGTTTGGTGCACAATAAAAGGTAAATCGGACGAAGATATATATGGGAGCTATATCTAAATCTGAACCGATCTCGATAAAATTTGGCACATGTATTTCTGGGCTATAGTTGATATATTTCCCAAAATATCGTTGTAACAGAGTGCATATTACGGCTGCGAAGGACAAACATAACGATCAAATTTGGCATACTTATTTTCAGGCCTAATTTGGTTGTATGTCCAAAATGTCATGCTATTCGGGCTGATATTACACGTTTGGTGCACAATAAAAGGCAAATCGGACGAAGATATATATGGGAGCTATATCTAAATTTTTACTGATTCAGACGGACAGACGGACTGACATGCATAAATCAACTCAGAAAGTGATTTTATGGAGATCATCAAAAGTAACTATGGGCCTATCTCGCTTCCTTCTTCATGTTACAAGCAAATGCACAAAGACATAATACCCTGACCACCTTGTGGTGTAGGGTATAAAAATTGGTTAGATACGAAATCAAAAATTTTGAAGTTTTGCTAACAATGGGCCAACATTGTGAATTATCGAAACTCTCATAAGATGCATGTTTCTTTATTAGAGGGTGTGAAAAATGTATTGTTCCATATCCTCCAAAAATTTTAATGAAATATTGCTTACAGGAAGTGAAATGATTGATAACAGGGAGTAAGGTTCAAACACTATTGATAATAGATGTAACTCACAACGTTATACTCATATAGTACCTCTTTTTGGTACCGGCTTATTTATTTATTTAATTATAAATATATTTCAAGCCATATGTTTTAGTCGGCTGATATTTTCTCTTGACTGATACTTAGCTTACTATAAGGATATCCATGTATCTGTCACGTCCTTTTATGTTTTGGTAACAATATATTATTATACATTTTAAGAATTATTTTCGAAAATTATTTTTAAATTATCATCAAATATTACTTTTTATATCACCTATAATTGATTATGAGAATAACTTCGATAATATTTGGATGAATTCACAATGCATACTCAGTTCATTTTTTTCCATGATGAGAAATCATACATTTTACATTCATCATCAATTCATTGCTCCGACACATCTTATCCTTGTCATCTTAAGGATAATCGTCATGTCGTACAGATAGAGTGTAAATTGTCGTAAAATTGTTGAACAATATTTTGAAATGCATTTCGTTTCAATGTTTCTTTTTTTCTGTTGGTCCTCTTTATCCTTGCATCAATACCAAACTATTTGGAAAAATGTTTGCATTACGATTTGTGGATGATGCTCTTCCTTCGTGTATTCTTCAAACCTTGCTTTTCAGTTCACCATCAATGGATGATGGATTTCCTGGTTCGTTAGCCGGATAACATCCTTCTTTAAGTTTGTCCTGTATTTTTTTTTTACTTTATCATTTTTTGTTGATAGTGTGTCTTTTTCGTAGTGTTAAAGAAAATAACCAGTAAGGAAAGCTCAAAAGTCGGGCGGGGCCGACTATATGATCCGATTCTCACCAATTTCAATAGGGTTCGTCCTTAGACCAAACATACATTGTTTGGAAAATTTCATCTCAATCGGATAATAAATGCGACCTGCATTTTGTTCACAAGAATACATGGACAGACGGACGGACGGACAGACGGACTGACATGCATAAATCAACTCAGAAAGTTATTCTATGCAGATCATCAATAGGAACTATGGGTCTTTCCTTTAGCCTGTTACAAACAAATGCACAAAGACATAATACCCTGACCACCTTGTGGTGCAGGGTATAAAAAGCAGTAAGTTCGGCGGGAACGAACTTTGAATAACATTCATTTGAATAAATTCGTTAAAAATTCCATTAAAACCTTAAAAATATCGAATATTAGGAGTTACCGTCTATTCAAAGACGTGAACCAGCTTCAGCATTTTTTGTCATAGGGCATTACAATATTTAAACACGAAACCGAATATAGAGAGGTACCGATATTTAGTGGATATTCGGAGACCTGGACCAGCATAGACAAATTTCTGTCATAAACAGAAGTATCCACTAGGAAATTCAAATACGAAATTTAAAACAATTCCGTGAATAATTTCGCTAAAATCATCAAAATACCGAATATAGGGAGATACCGTTGTATGGGGGCTATACGAGAACGCGGACCTGCACAGATAATTTTTTTCACGGACAATAATACCCATTGTGTATTCCAATTTGAAATTTGAAGCAGTTCGGTGTATAAATTCATTAAAATCATCAAAATACCGAATATAAGGAGGTGCCGTTATATGGGGGCTATACGAGAACGTGGATCTGAATAGACAATTTTTTGTCACAGACTGTAGTATCACATATGAATTTTGCAACAATTGCAGTGTATAATATCGTAAAATTTGTCAAAATCCTCTAAATACTTAAGGGAAGGTACCGTTATATGGGTGCTATACCAAAAAGTGGACCAATGTAGCTCATTTTAATACCAAAAATTTTGCAGACCAAACGCACATCTGAATAAAATTTTATCAACCTACTTCAATTCGTTTGGAAGTTAGAGTGGTTTCCACGGACGGACGGACATCGTTTAATTGACATAGAATTTTATGCTGATCAAGAAATCTACACTTTGTGGGGTCTAACATTTATGTTTCGAGGTTGCACAAACGGAATGACAAACATAATATACCCTTCATACTATGGTGGGAGGTATAAAAAGTCAACTATCTGTTAGTATACAAGTTATGTATTCCAGCGAAATCGTAAGTAAAATGTGGCACATGCGCTCAAAATATTGAATATGTGGCGTCTATATTAAATAGGAATGAAATGTGGACCTCAATTTAAATATAGTATTTTACAAGGAGTGTTTGAGGCGGAATTGATGAATTGTGCTGGATTAACAACAAACAAAGTCAAAGACCATAATTTTTAATTTTTATTGAATTAAATCAAAAAATGTCGGAGATAGCATCAAATTTTAGAATAAGTTTAGATTTCTTCGAATTGGTCTACTTTGGCACGAATTATGGCCCTCAAACGGCCAGCCGTCACGTGCCGCCCGAATGTTGCTCTGCGGTATTTTGGCCCATTCCCGGCGAAGTGCTTGTTTGAGGTGATCGACTCTTCGGTATTTTTTAGTGTTAACCTTGCTTTTCGAAATACTCCCGTCACAATAGTCCAACGGATTGGTATCCGAAGATTATGGTGGCAATACGTACGCTGGAAATGAAGCGATGAACCTCATTTTGGAACCATTCTTGAGTGGCGCGTGCTGAGTGCGATGGTGCTGATTCCTGTTGGAATGTCCAAGGTCTGCAGCACAAATGTTTGCGTGCCCAAGGATTTTATGCAACCTCCTGAATATTTTCGCGATAATATTCGGCATTTATTTTGATTCCACGGTCGATTAATACGAGCGGAAAGCGACCATCGGCTGTTATGGCGGCCCACACCATCACTATGGCCGGCGCTTGAGTGCTGGTGGCCAACCGTAGGTGCACATTTGCAGCTGACCTCTTTAGCAAGTTTTCTCATCGGAGAAAACCAAGTTGGGCAGTTCACCACTTTTGGCCAAACGAATCAACTCTTTAGCTCTTTTGAGTCTGAGGTGTAAGTAAGTTGTAAGTTGTTCTTTTCTGTTGAGGTGTAAGTTCTAGCACTTTTTGGAATTTCAATGGCCCCCGAGCTCTTTTTTCAATATTTGCCGAATGGAAAATTGCGATATGTTCAGGTCATGAGCCATTTTTCGGCCACTGCGACGTGGATTTCGATCAAGTCGCTTCTTTACTTTTCGAACCATTTCTGCTGATGTTGCTGTTTTCTTCCGTCCCCTCCCTCGACGACGGCTACGCTACCAGTATCACGGTAACGAACGATGGTATGAGACACAAAAGATTTATTCACATTTAAATGCTGGAGTCCTGCACCCTGTATAGCTATATCTCCCATGTACATGTGTTATCCAATTTGGTGTTAATGTCCCTCACATGCGTAATATGCACTCCACAACAATGATATCAGATTATCGTATATCAGATACAGCTCGAAAATACCTCTGTCATATTTTATCGAGATCGGTTTAGATTTTTATATAGCTTCTGTATACATCTTCATCCGATTTTACGGTTATTGCTCACCATATAGGTAATGTCAGCCCAAATTGGATAGTTGTTTCATATTCAACCGAATTTTTATACCCTACAACATTATGTGTTGGGGGTATTATAAGTTTGATTGGGCCAAAAATTATGTAACACTACGAAATATTGGTTTCCCACATAGGAAAGTATATATGGATCTTCCTATCTCGCCGAGCTGAGTCGATCTAGTTACGTACGTCCGTTTGTCCATGTTAATTTGTAATCACTCTACAGGTCGCAATTATGGCCCGATCTTCACGAAATTTAGAAAGGAGGTGGGGCTAGGGTCAGAATAGAACCCTATTTCTTTTGGAGATGATCGCATAATATTTAGGGGTTTAAATGGGCCAAAAACTGAAAAATTCCTGATTTTGCAGTTGCTCTACAGGTCGTAATTATGGACCAATAGAATCGGAAGTTAGCATGGGGCTATAGCATAGGGCTGGGCAGAAGCCTTCCAATTTTGATGGGCATCGGGTAATATTTAGTGGGTGCAATAGGTCACAACATTTGTGCTAAATAAAAGTAAAATTTTTCATTAAACCGCGAATATTTTTATTCCCGCCGAAATCACAAATAGACCAAAGGGTCAATTCTGACCGTTACATAGATGCCGATAGTAAATATATCGGTTATATATAGCGAAATATATGCAATGTGCATATACAAAGGAAGGGGATGGTAGCTAGAATGCTTATATCTCCAGAATGGCTGGAGCTATTTTGACAAATTTTTTAAATTAAGAATGCCTTTTTGGCATAAAAGTATAAAATCAAAAATGCATGCGATTTTTTCAATTTGATTTATAATATTTTGTAATATTCTTTCACCTTACAACACAGGTTGGGGATATTATATAAGTATTGCAAATATCGTCCGATCCTCACGAAAATTTTCACAAGGGAAGGTTTGGGCTGAGAAGGGCTAGGTCTATTGTTTTCAAAGATGTCTGCAATATATTAGCGCGTTGAAATGGACTAACAACTAAAAATTTTCCTGATTTTGCAGCCGTTATAAAGGTCACTAATAGAAACCAAAGACACGAAATCTCGCATAACAGAAATGTTTTTCCGTTCACATAATTGAAGCCATACACGCCTGTGAAGAGAGTTAAGGACAGGAAAGAGTTCTAGTATTTTAGAGGACCATTGGATTATATTTAGCTGTAAAATGGACCACAACAAATAACAGCCCGAAGGAGTGCATAAATATTGGGCAAATGTCCCTAGTCAACATCCTAATTTCAAAAGCGAAACCTTCCAATATGGATTTGGACATAAGGACGCTTCTAACATATTGTAGTGTTGTAGGGTATAACATAGTCGGCCCCGCACGACTATAGCCTTTGCTTACTTTGCTTATTGCTCCAATAAATATAATTTAATTTAAACCTTATCGAAATTATATCATGCACTAAACAAAAATGTTATTTGGTAAAAAAGCCTCTGCCAAATTTGTTGAAAATCGATTCAGAGTTGGATATAGTTACCAAATTGTGACTACTTTAAGCCATGATACATATTCAAATAATGTAATTTATTTTTGTTTGTTACGGGAGCTTTACTAAGTACGCATAGTGATGTAGGGTATCATATAGTCGACCCCGTTCGACTTTTGATCTTTCCTTACTGCTCTTTTTTTAAGGACGAAAAAGTGAAATTTCTAAAAGTCGAACATAGTTGTCGGCCACCAAAGCTAGTCCTATTTTTGCCTTCATTTAATTTTCATTCTAAAATGCACTTTAATAATTAAAATATGCAGCTAATGCTGGTTGTTGAAAATTCTCTTTATCCCACAAATTTTTCTAAAATTTTAAACATTAAATATTACCACTACATTTCATATTTTCCATTTCATTTATTGTTCGCCATTCCAACAGTGGATTTCAGGTATTGGTATACCGTTGGACAATTTACGCTTTGAGGCCATGACCTCAGGATATGTACTCAAGGCTGAATATTTCCTACCCGAGACCGTTGATCAACTGCGAACTAAAAGTCGTCTGCCGCTCACTGCCAGGAGTTTCAATGGCAAAACGAAGTTCGAAAATTTCATTGTGGACGAAAACGCTTTGTCAACAACGAACAACAGCACAAATCAGCCGGATTTTGTAAAGCAACGCAAACACATACGCAGCAGCTATCGCTGGACGGTGTACAAAGGCCTGGAGGGCTTGGCAACGAGGTAAGACGCATTGAAATAGCAATTTCACCAAAGTTAAAATTCAATGAATAACAAATGAATTAAGTCTGATGTTTTGATTTGACCCGCTGCTATGTTTTTTTTTTTCTCCGCCATCTCTCTCTCTCTAGGATGGGATTGTCTGGCCGTGAATGTATGTTGAAGAGTATCTGTGAGGCTGCTGAGCGACCTTTTCACATCTACAATGGTCTGTTTGGTGAATTGTTACATATTCTATTGACGTAAGTTTAGTGAGGGGAGAGATTTAATGATTTTTTTCTAATATTTGCTATTTTTATTAATAGACCCTCTTCGTCAAAGGATGAACTGTCGACTCATTCCGACAATGCATATTTTTATGCGGAGCATATGGGACGTTCTGGAGCCAAATGTGATCGGGTGTTTCGACATTGTCCACGTTCGTTGTTGGACCACTTTTCAGATTTTCCAACATTGTCCGACAATATTATGTCAATAATTGGTTAGTTAGTACGAAGTGGAAATTGAAAAATGGACTGAACAGTATTTTGTGTAAATAATAAAACTATAAATATAATTTATATTAAATAATTTAAGTGAAATAATTTTAATTTGTTTTTAAAATTAACGTAACTATCCGACTGAGAAAGAATTGGAAATTGAAATATGGAAAGAGGGCACTGATGGTGTGAGGGAGGCGGTATTATTGGAACTTCGAACTTTGGGAACATTTAAAGGACCATAAGATTGAAAGAGCAAGGTATTAAGTGTTAACTGCTATTAAGAGTTAGGACTTTAATATTGGTAATGGGGTCCCTTTCTGTGCGGAGGGATAAGATAGGGCGATGTGTTCGGATTTTCGTATTTTAAGAGTACAAGAAGTACTTTTGGATACAAAAATATACAACAATAATTATGATGTAGGTCGCTTTTTGGTAAGATAATGCAGGATCATTGGGAATGCGTAATAGTTACACAGCACCGCTTGTGAAAAAACCATCGTATGGGGGTAAGAAGGTTGGAATTAAAAAAATGGTTACTATTGCACTGCGAAAACTACTAAAATGTACAAATCGATTCATCATTGTGCGATGAAAAAAATTTGGAACTTTAAAGTTTGGCATGGAGGCCAATTTTTATATGGAGCTAAAGCTTTGAAATATTTCAATAGGTACCAATTCTGTATGGTGGTCAAACATTGTTTTTAGAAAATTAAAGTTTTCATAAGCACTATAACGTACCAAATCGGTAGGATGAGGGCTATTTAAAAACGTTAAAGTATATAAAATCCGTTCTGCAACAAGAGTAGAGAACCCTTTAGGAAATTTAAATACGTGGCTGAAATCGGCAAAATACCGAATATCAAGAAATATCGTTATTTGCGAATTTATTCAGCCGGCTGATGTTAAACAGTAACTGGTTTCCCTAGCCTTCTTATCCTCCATAGTACGGATTATGGGGTTTACGCGCTCCTTACGTAATTAGGAGGTGGCCCTCCGTGGGCAGGGGCTGGTGAGAGTGGCGTTGGGAAAATCTAAATACCGAATATCGGGAGGTACAATTATATTGGGGCTATAAGAAAACGTGAACATTTACCTATTACAAACAATTTCGCATTAACTTCCACGTCTTCGTATGGACCCTATATAACGGGAACTCCCTTTATTCAGGATTTTGATGATTTTAGCGACTTTATTCGCCAGAATTGTTTAAAATTTCATATTTAAATGTCTTAATGGGTACTACAGGCTATGACAAACACCTATGCAGCTATACGTCTTCGTATAGCCCCCATATAACGCCAAATTTTTCAAGTTCCTTCAAAATGGTGGAGGTTATCAACATTTCGGTCCGGCCGAACTTATCTGCTTTTTATTTGGTTTTAAACACGGCACACCCCAATGTATCTATTCACACAAGATCTGTCGTGATGATGGTAGATATGGGTCCTGTTTTTCTGGTACCCCCACCACAAGGGTGTAAAAATTTTGAATAACCAAAACGCTCATAAAAGCAAAATAGGCATCCGATTCATTTTATACCCTACACCACATAGTGGTAAGGGTATTATGTTTTGGGAATTTGTTTGTAACATGGAGAAGGAAGTAATATAGAGTCACAGTTATTTTTGTGGCACAAGAACGAACCCTATTGAAATTGGTGAGAATCGGATCAGATTTAGTTATATATATCTTCAACCGATTTCGGGTTAATTGTCTACTATATGGGCAGCATCAGTCTAAATAACCGATATTAATTTTGGCACGAACGACCGAATTAAGCCTAGAAGCAAGTACTTCAAGCTTGGTGAAAATAGGTTCAGACATAGCTCTCATATACATACATGTCTCATCCGATTTGGGGATTTAAGTCCTTACATTCGTAATATGCACTCCTCAAGAATGATATTTGGTACCGGATATCAGATACGGCTCGGATATGCCTCTGACAAATTTTAACCTAAATCGGATCAGTTTTCAATATAGCTCTCATATATATATTTATCCGATATCAGGTTTATTGTGCACCAAACGGCTAATATAAGTCCAAATGGAATGAATTTTGGCACTTCCGACGAAATTGAGCTTTCGAAAGCAAGTGCTTCAAATGTTGGTGAAAATTGGTTCAGATATAGCTACAGCTCCCATATATGTTTTATCTGATTTGGTGTTAAAGTCCCTCACATGTCTAATATACACTCCACAACACTGATATTTGATACTGGGCAACATATACTGCTCGAAAATACCTCTGCCAAATGTTATCGAGATCGGTTAAGATTTTTATATAGCTTTGTTATTCATCTTCATCCGATTTGATTTAACGGTTATTGTGCAACAAATATGTAATATCAGCCCAATTGGATAGATTTTTTCACCTTCAACCGAAACTTTCCATTTTAAACACTCTACCATACTATATAACTATCTTTGGCATTCCGTTTGTAACTTCTCGAAATACTCATGTTAGGCCCTACAAAGTATATATATTCTGCATCAGCGTAAAATGCGAGAGTCGATTAAGCGATGTCGTCCTTCCGTCGTCCTGTTATAATCACGACATTTTTCGAACGAATTGAGATAGAGGGATAAAAGTTTACACACGTGTGTTGGCAGGCAGGTTAAGTCCACGTTTCGATTCACATTTTCATATAGCCCCCATATAACGGTACCTCCCGATATTCGGTATTTTCATTGGGCCAAAAAATTATGTAACACCTCGAAATTTTGGTCCCCAACATAAGAAACTATACAGGGTGACATAAAAAACTGTTACAAAATCAAACGCCATAATTTAAATATTATTGAATGAAAATAAACAATGTCGGAAATAGCAATACATTTTAGAATAAGTTTAGATTTGTTCGAATTGGTCACCTTTGGCACAAAATATGGCCCTCAAACGGCCAATGAAACCGTCATACGCTCTCCGAATGTCGCTCTGCGGTATTTTGGCCCATTCCCGGCGAAGCGCTTGCTTGAGGTGATCGACACTTTGGTATTTTTTAGTGTCAACCTTTCTTTCCAAAATACTCCAGACTATAATCCGACGGATTGGTATTTGGAGATGTTGGTGGCCATTGTGCGCTGGAAATGAAGCAAGGAACCTCATTTTGTAACCATTTTTGGGTGACGCGTGTTGAGGGCGATGGTGCTGAGTCCTGTTGGAATGTCCAAGGTCTGCGGCAAAAACGTTTGCGTGCCTATGGCTTTAATACACCCTCCATAATATATTTGGGATAATACTCGGCATTTATTCTGATCCCGCGGTCGATTTATACGAGCAGAGAGCGGCCATCGGCTGTTATGGCGGGCCACATCTTTACCATGGCCGGCGCTTGAGTTCTGATGGTCAACCGAAGGTGCACATTTTCAGCTGACCTCTTTGGTAAGAAAACACGATCATTTTGTTTGTTTACAAACTGCTGGACAAAGAATGTTTTCTCATCGGAGAAAACCAAATTCTGCCAAGCGAAGCAACTCTTTAGCTCTGTTGAGTCTATTTTCTTTCTATTCTTGCACTTTTTGGAATTTCAATGACTTTACCCCGAGCTCATTTTTCAATATTTGCCGAATGGAATATTGCGATATGTTCAGATCACGAGCCATTTTTCGGCCACTGCGACGAGGGTTTCGATCAAGTCGCTTCTTTACTTTTCGAACCATTTTTGCAGATGTTGCTGGTTTTTTTCCACTTCCTTGACGTTGAGCTACGCTACCAGTATCACGGTAACGAGTGATGGTACGAGACTGGAGTTCTCTAACGATAGCCACTTGTGGTTTTCCAGCCAAATATAAAGAAATCACACCATCACGCTTGAATTCCATCACGAATAACTTTTTTTCTGGAAAATTCTCACCAAAATGCTTTTGTACTCTTGTAAACAATATAATGAGCTGTCACTGGAATAATTTTAACAGCTGTCGGACGAGTGGCTTGGAAACGACAGCAGTCTGAAATTGGTTGCAGTTTTTTAATCTTACCCTGTATTCTGCATCAGCGTAAAATTTTAAGTCGATTTAGAGATGTCCGCCCGTCCGTCTGTCTGTTATAATCACGCCATCTTTCGAAGGAATTGAGATAGAGGGCTAAAATTTTACACACGTGTGTTGGCAGGCTAGTTAAGTCCACGTTTCGGTCCACGTTTTCGTATAGTCCGCATATAACGGTATCTCCCGATATTCGGTATTTTGATGATATTGGCTACATTATTGACCGGAATTGTTCCAAACTTGATATTTGAAGTTGGGAATTACTGGGAAAATTACTTTTACATGTCCATATCTTCGTACAGCTTCCACACAATGTTTTTTTTCCACTGGCGTTTTTTTGATAAAGAAGTGCCTGACAAATGCTGGAGCTTATTAAAAGTTCGGCCCGGCCACTTTTTGGCTTGTTTTCACTGTAACGCTATGTGTTGGGGGTATTATAAGTTTGATTGGGTCAAAAATTATTTAACACCTCGAAATATTAGTTTCCCATATAGGAAAGCATATATGGATCTTCTTATCTCGCCGAGTTAAATCGATCTGTTCATGTTAATTGCTAATCATGCTAGAGATCGCAATGATGGCCCGATCCTCACGAACTTGAAAATAGAGGTGGATATAGTTTCAGAATAGAAGCCTATTGCTTTTGGATATGATCGCATAATATTTGGAGGTTGAAATGGACCAAAAACAGAAAAATTTCCTGATTTTGCACTTGCTCTGCAGGCGAATTTAGCATGGGGCTAGATTTTAGGCCTGGAATGAAGCATACCAATTTGGGTGATCATTGGACAAAATAAACCATAACATTTATGTAAAAAAAAAAAAAACAAAAACTTTCACTAAGCCGCGGCTATTTTTAATCCCGGCAAAATTACAAATACGTTAAAATTTAAATTCTCACAGTGATGCTGATAGTCATGATATCGGATATATAGCGAAATATGTACAATCTATACACAAAATAAATTGAAGAAGTAAAGCATTTTGGAATTTAGCGGTAAATTTAGCGGTAAAATGGACCACAATTTTCATATGAAATTGTTTTGAATACCTGAAAACACGACGGAGTGCAAATGCTTAGGCAAA